ACTAACATATAAACATTAGGTTAACTCATGAGCTTTTAACTAATTTATCAATCGTTTGTGTCAAACAAAGTTAATATCTTAAAAAACATTAATTTCTGAAATAAAAATGTTTCAAAACCTAGACTAGAGTCCTGAAAGGATACTCATTAACATGAGTTTATATTCTCTACATTTTGTTACTAAAGTAAGAACATCTCACCTCGAATAGTATATCTATAATATGAAATATTGAATTTGATTTAAAAAATGTTGGTAATAGGATGAGAAAAAATGAACTAGAAATGAAAGGAAGAAAATGGAGAGCATCTCCTGACCATTAACCTTACCTCTTACTCTTATTTAATTATTTTTGGTCATCTATATTATGAAGTGTGTCAGGTATCATAAATACACCAATACACAAATGTAACGTCAGACTAGCTGGAATTTCATCTGCATATATGGTTAAACTCCAAAATATCAACAGAAAAAATTAGGGTAGAATCAAATACAGTAAGGAATATCTTTGGTACCGACACTTGTTAGGAAGAGTAACTACACGTTATGAAAGAGATTAATTTTTTATTAAAAATGTATAGATACCCTTAATAGTACAAAAAAAATGTAGTAGATAAACTAATCTCCATATTTTCTTCTGGTCGTGAAATTTATCAACCACAAGGCAATAAATCACTTATAATAAACGCTAACTTAAAGAACGTTGCATATTTATTATTCTTTGCATATATCTGGCTACTTATAGTGTAAGTGCAACTAATGGTTAACTTGTACGTATGCTATTTATGTGAAATTGTCTACTTTCCATTGCATATTCTTACCATCTATTAATAATACAATACCTTCCCCACTTTGTACCTGGCTGAACAGAAAGAGAATAAGAAAATGAAATATTGACATTATTATTACTTGAATGAATGTCTTTCTGATATCTCCCAAAGAAACGTCCATGGTGTATTTACTTTTTACTTTTAACTTTGTAATAAAGTTGCATGTGCAGAGAAACTTGTGGCCCAATAACTCCTTCCGTTACACCCAACCACCAAGCTCGTTAACTTTTTTGTGTTGTATTTAGTATTTACATTCTTTTTTCACATAGACATAGTGCTTGCATTTGAAATTGAAAATATGTGTATTTATGGTAATGGAATCTTCCTGTATGCTTGGTACTTGATTCTTTTCCTTCTATGTTTACTTATTTTTTTAACCCTCCCTGGGTGTTTGGAACACATGCATGCTTCTTCTTTTCAGTCTATAAATACCATTGAGAGTATGTGGTTGTTCATATATATCAATTCTCTCTTCAATTTCTTTTTAGTTTTAATTCTATTTAACCATTTACTATGGCAAGTTTTACTCGCATTTGCTTGCTCTTTGCACTACTCTTTCTGTATCATGAACTAATGATCTGCATAGAAGGAAGGAATTTAAGAGAACATATTCACTCACCAAACACTGCAACTAGCCCAACTAAAAGTGTTGTTGCCACTCCTAGCCAATTGAAGAATAGTGTTAAAAGTGAAGAGGGACATGTTGAAGCTTTTCGTCCCACAACTCCTGGCAATAGCCCTGGTGTTGGCCATCCCATTAAAAATCAATCAATTATTAGCTACTAATAATATTCAAATGCAGCAACTTAAATGTGCTATGTATGTCACTATTAGTATTGGGTATCTTCTATGTTCGTAGCAATAGATATCTCTGTTCTAATTAAGTTTACGCATTATCAAAAAAACTAAGTTTGGGTTCTTACTTCTTATCATGCATGTATCAAGTGCAGTTTGTAATAAGCTTTCTACCATATGATTATACCTATCTAAAATCAATCAAACTTTATAAAATAATATAAAAATATTAGTTTTTATTTTTATAATTTTTCTTTTTAATTAAATGATATTGTTAATTAGGAAGATACACAAAATGAGATAAAGATCTGATGTTCAAAAGTACGTCACAAGTTATGTTTTAAGCGAATGAAAACATGTAATATCAATTAAAAATTAAATATTCATTATTTTTTCTCTTTTTTCTTTTTTCCCTTTATTTGTTTAAATATTTTGTTCATGGGCTGCCCACAAAGCCCAATAAAAAAACCATTAAGAAAAATAAGGATCTCAAGAAATTGCAATTACTACGTATAAAAAAACCAGTAAGTCATGTCAAGAAATTGCTATGCCAAGGCATTAGGGTACAAACTAATATCCTCTCAATTAATAAAGAAAAAAGTACATATTCTACATTTGTTTTTAATAATAAAAAGTGTAATTTCATTGTAATCAAATAGATATATATGTCATTGAATATTATATTTCCTTTTGATTTTTGAAGCATTTGTCTATCCATTAATGGAGAGTATAGTAACTCTGCATCAATACATGTTAATGTTAGCGCACTTCTCAGGACTCCATGTTAATGTTATCTTCCAATTGCATTAAACACTAGTTAGATGAGTGGAAAGTTATTTTGTTCGGCTTGTTGATGTTCACATTACTGTTATTTTGTTGGGCTTGTTGATGTTCACATTACTGTTATTTTGTTATTGGTATTGTTGGGCTTCCCTTGATGTTTACAATGTCAGTGGTCTCACTCAAGCGCTGGGCAAATGACCCAAAAATTATTACATACCAGACATTAAACATGACATTAATGAGATCACTTGCATTTCAGGCCTATTTTATCTTTTTTTGGTGAATCATTTCAGTCCTGTTATTTTGTGCACACAGGTTATAGCCTTTAAGCACAAATACTGAGATGAAATTTTGGATGATGATTCTGTATTCTCTATATTTATAAAGATGAGGTACCATTCGGTGTATTGTCTATTCAACTGGGCCTTACAGTATTTGGATCGCTCTGTAAAAGGTGGTCCAAACTCTTATGAAAGGACCATTTTCTTAGTAGCTTACAAAAATTACGACTAGTGTTGTCACTATGCCTAAGAAGCGATCCATATTGGGTACTGTTATGCTATATATGCACAAATTTTCGTTATCTTTTTTTGTCTACTTATATATACACAGACAATTATATATTTGTTCGAGTTCATATGATCTTTTTTAAGCATTTAAATGTAATACTGTATAAACAATACATATAAAACGTACTTTTTGAAAATACATAATATCACATCAAATTCCATAGATGTATTTTGTTTACACATTATATTAAATATAAGTTGGATTTGAGAAAGTTAAATATCAGCAAAAGGTGAAAAGCTAACTTTGGAAAAGAAAAAAAAAGCTATTGGGTTGTGCCAATGCCCCACAAAAGTTAGTTTTTTTTTTGTGTGACACCAAGATTGGTTTTAGGCTTTTGGTTTTCATAAGTCATTGTTGTGTAACGAGGTCACGTAAATTATCATGATGTCCCTGTTGATCGTTACTGTTGGATCACGTGCAAAGATTAACATAAAAGTTGTTGTCGGCAAATATCTAGCGCATGCCCTTCACAAATGGAAGCAAACACATGAACTTAAGATATACGAAGAAGGGGTTAATAAAAAAAATGTGAACAAAGGGACGTTCCAAAAAGTCTCTGTCTCAGTGTGCAAGTTTTCTACATTGAAATGGAAATATGCATGGGATATTATTTTGCATTGACTAAAGCTATAATATATGGGATAAATAGTTATCTAAAGTAAAACATGTAGTCCATAATTGAAAGTATTAGATAGATATTTTGAGGGAGAAACATAAGAGCCTGTTAAACGCAGTTCAAAGGTGGTTTAAATGAAAGAAAAAGGAAAGGTCATTGTATGAATGGACCATTTTATTTTGTGTTGCATGTGCAAGTGGTGGTGTCTTTTTCCTTTTCACGAATCGCAACAAAGTTACTTATCGTCATTCCACTTTATGCTTTGGATGGCTTCACTGCTCATTTGTCACAACACTCACAACTAGGGGTGAGCAGGACCCGGTCCTACCCGCTCACCCGGTATGGCCTGATCGTGATCGGGCCTGAAAAGGGTTAGGTCTCATCGAGTCTCATCGGGTCTAGGGCCGGGTTTGAGTTCAAAAATTAGACCAAGTCAATATTTAGGGTCGGGTCCCGTCCCGACTCGTCCCATTTTCACTTTCTCATTATGTTTGTATGTGTCTCTGTTCAAATATATACAGAGTAATCATACTTTTTTGTCGAAAATATCATTGATTCTCTAATTTTTCATCATATATACATGTTTAATAATATATATACACATATATTATTTATTATGTCAAATTACATATTCACAATAATAAATAATATTTACAAGACTTTATGTAAAATGAGTATACGTTATATTTAATCGGGTTTAGGGTCGAGTCCGAGTTTAGAGACTGACCCTGTGAATATTTAGGGTCGGATTAACTTCGGGTCTAACATCGGGTTCAGATTCAGAAAAATAACCCAAACAACATTTAGGGCCGGGTAAGGACAAGCCTTAACCCGGTCACCCCTACTCACAACTATGCTTATTAGCCCAGAATTTTATGGTGGTACACTACACATTTGCCTTTCGGATGGGACCCTCATACGGATTAATGTGCTTTATAATCAAAAGGGTCAGCCCAATCTTTAGAGATAACATTTATATAATATAATAAAATATATCATTTATCTCTTTACATTATTAAAAGTATGATACATGTACTATTTTGTTTAATTTTTAAAATAATTTTATAAAAAATAATTAAATATGACATACATTAAGATTTTAGTGATACAAAGAAGAATTTGATTATATGCGATAGGATTTGGATATCCAAAACAAAACAAAAAAAAACTTTTAATTTAAGAACTGCTTACATAAAAGTTCAATTTTGCTATAGTTATAGTCTTAAGTTTTTTTAGATTATCGACTAGTTATATATTATATGCATAACTTTTGAGATTAATATGTATATAAGAGTTAAGTACATCTAATAATATAACAATATATAATTACAAAATAAATTTATAATACATTACATGAAAAAATAAACTATCCTTGTATTAAGAATAATTCATCTCCAATACTACACCATCTACTGAAATTTGAGAAATAATAAAAATATTCTGGACTCTAAAATAATAATAAAAAAATGTTGACATATGTCAAAATATGGATAGATGATCTTTCCAATAAAAGGCATAGCAGTAGATTCCTCCTTTTCTCAGCACTTCTCAAATCCATTTGCAAATGGCTTTTTCTGGAACCTGGTTTCCTCTGTATGCTAAGTCCTCTGCTACATGAATCTGGGTCCAATTGTCCAATGGACAATAATCATTATTCCAAATGAAACATGAAACAAACAAAGTTAACACTTAACACCCCTTCAATTAATTTATTGCTGCATATTAAAACCAAAAAAGAAATTGAAAAAAAAAATACGGTCAAGAAAGGTACACTATCTTATAGGATCCTAGAGATGGCAAGAAGGTAGAGTAGGTTTCAGTATTCCTACTCCCGCAACTAAAAACCGCACCCAAACCAACGTAAGATAAAAAATAATGACACACATTGTTGTCAGGGGTTGTCAAAAGTATATAAAATGTGTGCAAAAATTAATGATATCGGATCAGTATTAAACTCCTGCTCCAGGGATTACTCTTTTGCAGGCTTTGTTACTTGAATCACTTCCTCTATGCTTAAATTTTAAGCAAGTAAATAAAATGATTTTTTTAATCTCAACCCTGATGATAAGATATTTAATACTTTAAAACAAAAGAAGTACATATTTTCGCGGTGATTCGACAAAAAAGAGACGTTATACAAAATGATTTTTCACTAAATACCTATTTTATTAGTCTTCCAAATTTTTTGCATATACCAATTTAGTATTTGTAAAATTGAAAATTTTAAAATAGTCCCTAAAAATATTAAATATAAGTATAATTTGTCATTTAGTATTTTTTTTTACCCTTAACATGAACTATATTGATTCATATTCAAAAAATTTGACCCTTACTCATGCCCACCACTATCTCACCATCATTTCCTGCCTCCACTATTCTATTGTTATTAAGCCAAAAAAATCAATGTTTTAAAAACCGTGTCATACCGGTCGGTTCAACTGGTTTTCCGGTTGAACCGGATCCCTAATCGGTACGTTACGTATGTTATACCGCATATGCAATAGAACCGGTCAAAACCGATAAACCGGTTTAAACCGGTCGGTTTGTACATTAATTTTTTTTAAAAAAATTTCAAAATTTTCAATTCTTCACCAATTCTTCAACTTCAATGATTGATACTTGGGTCATTTATATGTATTTTGCGTTTGTTAAGTAATAATTTTGGATTAATATATGTTTTGCACTTTAGACTTTGATCTTAATGTTGTTTGTTTGTGTGAATTTTAAGTAAATTATGAATATGGATTATAAATATGAATATCTACTTATTTGAAATTTTTTGTTATAGGTTTATATATATATATAAGCAAGTATGTTCAGTTTAACCGGCATGCGGTTTAATTACTGAACCACTGTACCATTATACCAGTACCCTGACCGTTTTGATAACCGGTACGATTTTAATAACATTCCAAAAAATGTATAATAAATCACATACAATTTTAAGATAAAATTGTTATTCATATTTAGCTTATATTATAAATATGTGAGGTTATTTAATCTACATCAAAGATTGAGCCATAACATAACTTCTAAAATTCATATTTTATTTCATATCTTTTCAATTCTCTTACCTTATCATTTTTGTTTTATCTTAATTACCAAAGGAGTCTTCCATAGTATTAAAACAAATCCCGCCTTAGGTGGGACATAGGTTTGGAAAGTAATAATTGGTTTGTGTCTTTGAGGGCTATGCAAATATTCATTATTATGAAACTCTTTCAACAAAGTGGTAGCACAAATGATGCACCATGAGTAGGTAGAGTACCATTATATATGTAACCGGAGGTATGATAATGATGTTTGGGACTTGGTTGTTTCTCTATATATTGTATAATTGATGAGAAAATTAAATTTGCTCTCAATATTGTTTATTTAAGAGAATTGTTAGTAATGTTCTATTTTATAATATAATTTTTATTGTTTATGTTATATATATATATTTATTTATAAATGATACTTTAAAATAGTATAAAGTATACTATATATACTTAAAATATAAAAAATACAGTGTATTGAAAAAATAAATGGTTTTTTTGGTTAATCTAAACTCTAAGCACTAAGAATAATGTTGATGAATTTTATTGAGAATGATATATTATTGAATGAATTGAATAGTTTATATTTATATGTTAACAACGGCTCCGATATATATTGATTAAAAAATCAAATATAAAAAGATTGTATTGGAAATAGTATATTCAGAATTTCTTAAAGTTTTCTGTGTTAACAAAACTTTTTAAGGGCATTTTATTTAAGAACTGCAAATTGAAAAAAGTCTAATAGAAAAATCGATTTTAGAACTTTTCAATATTTTAAACGAATCATTTTATAATACAAAATTGCTCTATTTACTTTCTTAAGTGATATCTTTAGGACAATTATTTTAAACGAATCATTTTATAATACAAAATTGCTCTATTTACTTTCTTAAGTGATATCTTTAGGACTATTTTCAATATTAGCTTTACAAATTCTATAGCAAAGGTCCTTATAATACAAGTAATTAATGCTATTTTAATATTACATGAATCAGAAAGAAAGCGTTTGAAGCACGCATATCTTCGGTGTAAAAAATTATCAGAGATTGTCTCCCATGCATTGGGAATGTCTATTCATGCCCCACTTCAAGCAAACTTGAGAGATCCATTTATTTCAAAAGTAAGTTTTTTAACATACTAGTCATCAATAATATTTATTCCATATCTTAGTTATCAATTCTAAGGAAATCCAATAGTTTGAATTAGTATGTAAATATAAAACATTGAATTTTCTTAGAATCGATGACTAAAATGTGGAGTAAGTTTAAAAAACTTACTTTTTGGAGTCTCACCATATATATATATATATATATATATAATTGTTTTTGGCATGCACATATATTTTTTTTGGGTGAAAATATACAATTTCTTTCAACATATAGTAGTACTATCAATTTTATATTAATAAGGTGTAAGCATTACTTGCATTTTCCCCTTTTCCTTGAACCCAACAAAAATTAATCATTTTCACTACATTTAACTTACGTTGAAAACATATCTTACACCGGCAAATCGTGCGTAGTTAATTCATCATCATAATAATGTGAATCGAGAATCTTATAGTCTTATTAGTTATATAATCAATTAAGAGAAAAGATAGAATATTGTAGCATCTTAAGACTGAGCAGAATACAATCGACTTTGCTTGGTTCTTAATTTTATGTCTCCATCCAATTCGCAATGATGCCTCCGGTAATAATTTCTTGGAACATAAAACTCGTTATTATTATTATTATAGAGTTCGATACATTCAGCACCTTGTATTATTGTTTCCTTTCCTGTCAATGTTAAATTTTAAAAATATATAATTGCTGCAAAATGATGTATTTTTTTTAACAAGTTCGTGCAATCAAATAATTTATCAGATACATGTACATAAAAGAATGTGAGAAATTAAACTAATAAACTGAGGAAACAAGAATAAAAATATATTTAGAAACAACACTTATCCATTTGAACTAAAATTATGTTCATTCTTGTCAGAGTCTTATATTGATATATAAACTAAATACAAAACATATTCCAGCATTACAGTTCATAACTTGTAGTCTTAAAAATAGTCACAGAAGATAACTACAAGCCATTGATTAATAATATTTTTTTTCCTACGGAAATGATTAACTTTTATAAACTTAAATAAACGTTGATCATTGATGCAAATGGCAATATACTTTGCTCTTAAAGTAAACTTTAGATTTTAGATATTGATTACATAATTGAATCAATAACTTACATAAGCATATTGAAAAAGCCAGAGTAGTACACTTTGGAGAAAGTTGGACATTGATTTGGTGAGTAAAGTAGTTATTAATAGATATGTACATTGGCTTTCTTTCTTTAAAAGTAATTTAAATTAATGCTATCTGAATAAGGTAATAATAAAGTTACAAGCAGATCTTAGATATGAATAGGGAAATGGAAAAGCATATGTGAACTTCATAATTGAGTCCTTATGATTAATAAATATGGATTGTTCCGTGAATAAGTTATAAGTGGTCTGCTACTTGAGGACACTTCCTTTTTTATGCAACTTACTTTCTTAGTTCTTATCACATGCTCTCACAAACTCCCTTTAACTCCTTCATTCACTTCATTTCACTTCTGTTTTAAGACAAAGGTTAAAACGTGCGATAACACGAAGATTAAAATGTGCCTACATATTCATTTGAAACAAGTTTTAGGTAAGTAGTGGTGATTGGACTCCCTTACCCATTTGAAACAAGTTTTAGGTGGACAAGGCAAAATATTATTGGGACTGTTCTCGATGTAAAGATTTATATTCAGTCATTACATTGTGTATAATTTATTTGAATTATTTTGGTTAAAGAGTCAATAATGATTAAAAATGAATCATAAATGATACAATGATAGTGTATAAAACTTATACATTTTTATTTTTTCCTCTATTAATGGTGCTGGATCAAATATACTGTTGTTAAAACATAAAGTTCACATAAATCTCATACTAAAGACTAAAATAAAATCATGCAGTTAAAACATGACAGTCTACTCAACACAAATTATTTCTCTCTCTTCTATTTCTGTCGAAGCAGCCATATTTGTAATACGTATGTAGCAGAACAGTAGAAAGTATTATTAACCATTTTCTGCTGAATTTTGGTTTTATTGTTATTTTGATACCATATTCGTACTTAGAAGTTAGAATCACTGCAACACTTTCCTAGGATGATTGCAACCTCGTCGTTTTCCACTTTTCTTCTTCTCCTTATTCTTCTTCTATGCTTAGTGGGTTTTTGTTGTTTAGTTCGAGACTCAAAACAAAAACTATTATTTTTAATGCAGAAAGTGGCATTCATTAGCGTTCCTCTGTTTGCCCTGTTTTTAAGTTTCCCGCTCTGTCAATTGTATGAAATTATTTCTTAGTTTCTTTCTGTCTCCAAAGGCTTCATTTGTAGTATATATAATATCCCTTTTTCTATTATTGTTAATTGTTTTGCAAATTTACTTTATCAATGCTGCATTAATATATCACTTATGCATGTTTTACCTTTTTTGCAGTACTAGTAGTACTACTGTAGTGCATTGTTTTCTTTCTCGTTTTCTGGGAAAGTGGCATAATAGAGGATGAATACAAGATCACGCACTACACTTCATCCAATGAAAGCTCCTTTCAATAATAATGGCAAAGTAATTTCTTTTTCTTCTAGTGTTTTTCCCCTCTCTTCCTCTAACAATTAAAGCTTTGCTATTTTTTTATTTTCTTTTCTGTTTGATTGGAAGATCTTAAGAAACAAAGTTATGGTGGAATTTGAAATAAGTTCTTGTTAATTTAGAAAGAAGAATCCCCT